GGAATTCGCTATTCATAACTCACGCCCTGCACATACGGCCATCGGCAGCGACGGACCACCTCTCACTGCCAACGCCCTTGAGCACGTACAGCCTACCCTCGGGGTCCCACTTATTCTTGATCTTCAGTAGCTCGGCGTAGTTGTCGCCAAAGAAGGTCTTCTGCCAGTTGGGCTGCCTGAAGTCGGCCTCGTTCATGTACGAGCCGCTGCCGGGGGTGACGGCCTCGATCTGGGGCATGAACTGCTCAGTCATGCGGCGCTGGGCCTCGAGCATGTTGTCCCAGGGCGCCTTACTGTCCCAATCGGTGATGAGCTGCATCTGGACGAGTGTGTCGCGCCAGGCGGGGAAGACGGAGTTGTCGGCGGCCCCGGCGGGCTTCTTGTAGGTGCCGGCGGAACCGACGGCGAGGACGCCGTTGGCGGTCAGGTTGCCAATGACGGCCTTGAGGGCCGGGCGGTTGGCGTCCGAGAAAGCGGAGCGGGGGATGAGACGGCCGCCGAACTGGTAGCGGGCCACCTCGAGACTGCCTTTGGGCAGCGGGCCCATGTAGCGGTCGTAGTGGTCGCGGTAGGACAGGGTGCTGTACGCGACGGGCAGGTTGATGCCGATCTCGGTTAGAGCCGTAGTGAAGGGCTTCAGGACGACGTCGCGAACGTGTTCGGCAGACGAGTTCCACAGTGTCAGGGGCTTAACAACAAGCATCATGCTGTTCATGTAGTAGACGACCATGGCGCCGTGGTCGATCATACCGGGGAGCGCATCCTGGAAAGCATCGACGGCGGCGGCGAACTTCTCGGGCGTCGTCGTGGGCTTGAGGAGCTGGAACAATGCACCACCGACGGGGGCAGCTGGATAGGCGCGAACGGTCATGCCGACGACGACGCCAAAGGTGCCGCCGCCGCCTCCGCTGAGGGCCCAGTAAAGGTCAGGGTTGACCTTGGGCGAGGCCGTCACGGTGCGTCCGTCGGCGGTGATGACGTGGAAGGACAGGGTCTGGTCAGCTGCCAGGCCAAACTGTGTGCTCAGGGCAGAGTGGCCGCCACCCTGGGTGAAGCCGCCGGCGAGACCGACAGTGGCACACTCGCCAGTAACGACAGAGAGGCCCTTGGCGTTGGCAGCCTCAAGGATCTCATAGCCCTGAACACCAGCGCCCACGGACACAGCAGGACCGGTGTAGTATTCATCATCCCAGTCTACAAAGTCGATCGACTTGAGGTGGTTGGTCCAGATAGCAAGGGCACCAGCACCAGTGGATCGGCCAAGGAAGCTGAGCTCAGTCAGTACATGTGTGAAGTCTTAATAGGTTTAATTGAACTGGGTAGAGACATACTCATGACCGGTGTTGCGGACGACAACACGAAGGTTGTTGGCCTTGGCGAACTTCAAAGCCCTCGCCACATCAGACGAGCATTCGACATCAACAGCGTAGCTGACGTAGTTGCCGAGGGTGCAGGGCTTCGCACGGTCTGTGAAGGGGTCACAGCTCTGGTTGGCGAAGTAGGTCTGCATGACTGAAGAGGAAGACGGGATGCTTGGACGGGTGTTAGCGATCCGTGGCACCGCCGGAAAGCTAGTTCCACTGGCTCAGGTCGGACTCACTGGGTCAAGGGGTTCGTCCACTGCGACTGCAGCTGGGCACATGCAGCAGCGTCGTAGGTGGGATCATGGCACGGCGAGCCGATGGGCACAGTAGCCACGAGGCGGCCGCCGACGGTAGAGTTGAACCGAGACCAAGCACTCTCCTTGGGCCAGCACGCATCGCCAGGCAGGCAATAGCATGAGCTGGCTGCAGGAGCGGCAGCAGCGCCCTGAAAAGTAGCCAGGGCAGCGGCCTGGAGAGCGAGAGAGAACTTCATCTTGAACGGCTTGAGTTGGACAAGCGTGTTGAGGCTCAAGATACCTTTTACGGCAACGAAGGAAAGATGGAAAAAAAGGAGGCGTCGGGGCCAAGGCGCTACGGCTTAGCTCGACTCGACTCAACTTTTGGTGGGAGAAGATACGGCGAACAGACAGAAGCAACAAGCGAATGTGGTGTGCTTGACGGGCTTGACTTGAAGCTTGCAGACGACCTCGACGGGGTTTTATTGCTTGACACAGCGGAGAGGTTTGGACGAACCATTGATTCTTAGACCCCTGGAATCGATGGCGGCAGGGCAGCGTACCGCCTCGGCCCGGAGATGACAGTCAAGTCCGTCCTATGCGTTGGTGGTGTTCGTGTCGTTGGTCGTTGGCCGATGGACACCCGTGCCGTCGAGTGGCCTCGTCGCGAGCCCTCTTCAGAGCTCTCGGCCGAGGGACGTTATGTGCCAATGCTAGGTGGCCAATCGCTCCGGAGACGATGCCCCAGTTCGGAATCGTCTATGGTGCGTGTAACATGAGCGGAGGTCTGGGCAATGCCATGCGGGGCGGTCCCTAGCCGACACCTTGCATCTGCCTGCATTACTCCGGCTACTAAGCCTACCTATACGACAGGGATTTCATCCTCCAGCCTCCCACCATCATCGGATGCTTGAGCGATAGTGAGGCAGAGAAAAACTCAGTCTCCAGCCGAAGGCAAACCCTGAGAGAGGCCCCAGAGAACAAAATCGGATCGATGGGAAGCCAGGCAGCCCGTGATCCACTCGGAATGGAGGTTAAGATTGTCGAAAGTATAACTCACCTTAGCACAATGAATGGGCCTTGCCTTACCATATCAAAGCGCTCAGCGGGGCAGCGGGAGCGAGGATGCGAGGTACCGGGGCAGACGGCTGATGGAAGCCCCTGACTCCGATCGTGCCAACCCGGCGTTAATCCCGATCCATATTGCGTGCCTGCGGGGGGATGGATCTCCCTGAAGACAAGAGAATATTATTTCGCCATCTACAGTGAGTAAATATAGGCGAACCATCGAAATGGCCGGCCACGTATCCGGGGCAGCATTGGCCATTCGCATTTCACAATCTCATTCGATGAGAGTACGTCCATACATTCGACAGATTAAACACGACCTGCTTCGAAAAACCCATTCAACAGACAAATGGGCAGATACCTCGTAATAATTTGCTGACTTCTCGGCCATTTCTCCCCTCGGTGGCAGCCAGTAGGAGGCCGCATATCAACCCTAGACTGAATTTGCAGGTGATGGTTCATCCCCTAATGCCGCCCTAGTGTACCATGGATGCAGGGGGTTCCATCAGCCGACCGACCAGGTTCGTCTTCTCCTGCGTGCGAAGATGAAGCACACCGAGTACGATTGCCGGCGAAAGATCCCGATGAAGAAGCCAAGTAGCGGCCGGCCCTATGTATGCGGACCAAGTCCAAGATAGGCATGAGCAAGCTGGACAGCAATCAGTTGCTTCTGTCTGCCCAGGCCTGCCCCAACTGCGCTAGAAGACACACTAAGACAGACGGCGCGCAATCCGAAGACACACGCTCTACGCCACCGTGGAACCTTTAATTCTGCTGAGAGATGATGCGAATGGCTGTACCAAACTTCGACCACCTCGAAATGCTCCACCCTGCAGACTATGGCCCAGACGGTGGGGACCCAGCGGGAAGAGGTGTGGGAATGCTATACAGCATTACCCCTGAAGCAGAAACCTCGGATGTTGAGAACCAGATGATGTGGCAAAGCTGTCCAAGCTGGCGAGGCTATTGGCTTGTGTGCTGAAGACTCGAGGTTCCTGCACACCATGCAATCCATCGAACATGGAATGACTCTCGTGGTGTTTCGTCCGAGCGGCCCGACCTCATTCGGCTTAGCAACGCGCCCTCTTCTCCTCAAGACGTTCGATAGCTGGCATTCCCATCCCGGGAGGCACCCGTCAGGGCTCACCTGTAGTGGAGGCGGCTTGGCAGCTAGGAGGCATGATGGTTTTGCGCCTTCTGGATTCCGTCTCGTTACCAGCGATGTGGTCACTCGTCCTCGTGTCTTCGAACCTCCCACTCGACCGGGGGTGTCTTGTGATATTGTTCTCGACAAAGAATTTGCTCTGCCCGATCACATACAATTAAAAAGGATCGCACCCTGAATTCCCGCCCTCGTCGGACACCCCACGTCGCCACGTGCGAGTCCCTGGATTTTCGGGAAGGAGTGTGCCCCAGGCATAGTTGTGCCCTTTCCAACCAAACTGCATAACGCCCTCTCTCCCACCAAGATTTTTGTTCACTCCCAAGCACCATCATGGTCTCTCTTCACCGGTTGAGTTCCGGCGAGCCGCGCCTTGCTGGCGACGTGCTTACTCCTTGTGCTTCTCCCAGCCGTCTTGGCACAGGCAACATCAAATCCCTTCCCCGCTTGCGCGGTATGTCTCTCGTCTGTCAAAAGCCATCGTGGTACTAATACGCCGACCTGAAGACGCGCTGCATTGGCAATGCCTTCCAAGAGGGCCTGTGTGCACCCACAAACCAGACATGCATATGTACCAACCAGCAGTTCCAGGGCACCGTTGCTCTCTGTGTCCAGCAGAGCTGCACCATTCCTGAGTCTCTAGGTGCGTTGTTGGTGCAAAGATGCTTGAATTATCTTGCAAGATGCCATACTGACCCTGCACCAGCTACTCGCAATGCGAGCTTGACAAACTGCGGCGCCCCTGTCCGCGACCGGTCGGGCAAGTATGTCGTCCTCTCCAATACCATGGCTATCATTGCTGCCATCTTCGTCGTCCTCCGATTCGGCCTCAAGCTTTTCATCGCCCCGAGTCCTCTTGGCCTTGACGACTGGTTCATCCTTCTGACGCTCCTCGTCGCTACACCCTCGGCCGTAATCACCGTCTATGGAACCACGGCCAACGGTCTTGGGAAGGATATTTGGACGCTCGATGGTCACATGATCACAGCAGTCGGCCGCTACTTTTATATCATGGCCTCGCTCTACTTTACGCAGCTTACCCTGCTGAAGCTCTCCATTATCTTCTTTTACACCCGCATCTTCCCGGCCCGCGAGGTACAACGCCTCCTCTGGGGCACTGCCATCTTCACCGTTTGCTATGGCGTCGCTTTTGTCATCACGGCAATCTTTCAGTGCCAGCCCATCCACTACTTCTGGACAAAGTGGGACGGCATGCACGAAGGGAAATGCCACAACGCCAACACGATCAGTTGGACCAACGCCGCCATCAGTATCGCCCTGGACTTATGGATGCTTGCCATCCCGCTCTGGCAGCTCCGCAGCCTCAAGCTCCACTGGAAGAAAAAGGTCGGCGTTGCCATGATGTTTTGTGTCGGCACTTTCGTTACGGTCGTCAGCATCTTGCGCTTGCAATCGCTTGTTCATTTCGCCTCCACGAATAACACGACTTGGGAATTCTACGACGTGTCGGTCTGGTCGACCATTGAGATCACCGTCGGTATCATGTGTGCCTGCATGCCCGCCGTTCGTCTTCTCCTGGTGCGCTTCTTCCCCGCTCTTGCAGGCTCCTCGGCACGCAGCCGCGGAGCCATGTACTACGAGTATGGCAGCGGACCTCGCTCGAAGACAGCGGGCACACGCAATGGCACCCGCACGGGAACGACCGTCGGTGTGTCTACGTCTGGCGGGCACTCCCCCGACCTCAAGCTCGGAAGCGGCGGCGGCATCGTCACGCAAAAGTCATATGATGTGCAGTACAGTGATAATGACGAGGCAAGTTTGGTCCACATGAGCGATCTACCGCCAGTGGCCAAGAGGCCTTGATTTTGACGGGCTTGATATCTGGGTAGCTAGGCGTTCTGCGTTTGTGTTTTTTTTTGTCTTCTCTGTTCACGATGAGAGCCGAGCGATAGACTCTCCTGACCAGCAAGCAACAGTTGTACCACCATAGTACTCAGGTAGCAGAAACTTGCTCCATCCATCCGCACCAACATTCCCACCTGAAGATCGTCACTTCGTGCTATGGGGCAATGTCAATCATTGCTCCAATATTACGTTGCTTCGTGCGTCACACCGTTGCTCCCAACCACGACTACCGACCTCTAGTCAAATCAGACGTCATGCCCGACTCTCCGAGACCCAATCCCGAAGTCCTTCCATGCCTATGGATGCCTGGTCGCGATCAGACCCCTTTTCTTTGAAATGACAGCCATCACAGTGGACCTCCCTTCCCGCCTGACCAGCCGACTCTCTTCAACCCCAGGTATCCGACTAGCTCGGCGACGGTGAGCGCCATTCCGCCTCCGTCGACGGCCTGGCGCCGCCTTACCACCAATAGCGCGCACTTCGACCCTCACGCAACGGCCCTACGGGTTTAGGACGCTGTCAAAAAGGGGTGGATGCTACTCCCGCCACTTTGCAGTGTACGTTGGATCGACAGCGCTTGGCGTTCATGGTGCCGAGTCTCGGAGTGGAGGAGTCCGTGGGTTCAGATTTCGTCGCAAC